CTGCCCATTTTTTGATCTATATTGCATAACACCCCCGTGATGGGTCAGCCCTGCACAGCTGGGGCAGGGTGGGGGACAGAGCTGTGAGCAGCTCATCCAGGGGGCACGGGGAGTGGGGTTGGGGGCACGCAGCCTGGGAAGGAAGGGGCGCATGCCCCCGGATCTGGACGCAGGGCGGGGTAGGCTGGGGCTGGGACAGCACTGGGCTCTTCCTGGCCAGGCTGCGATCAGGCCAGACGGTAGCGGCGCTGGGCGAGGGCCCACTTTGGGTAAGGTCTCTCTGCTTCCAGCACCACCCACACCAAGTGCAGCACAGGCCAGATCTGGCAGGAACAGCCCGGTGCAGCCTGCTAGCCCGCAGATGCAGCCCACCCTCTCCCATCCCCACGTTCTCCAGCAGGGGAAGGTTGCACTGAGCTGTTCCTGCCAGGCCTGGCCCACGCTGCACTCAATGGTGGTGCTGGGAATGAGGGTTGAGGGGCTACGGCCCCACTCCCATGGCCCTGCTCCCAGTGCTGTTGCTGCAGCCACCAGGCCTGAGCGCAGCCCAGCCAGGAAGAGCCTGGCACTGCCCTGGCCTCCGCCTGCCCCGCCCTGCGCACAGATCTGGGGACGTGCACCCCTGCCCTCCTGGGCTTCCTACTTTTGGTAGGAAACAATAATTAAATCAAGGCTTTCTGACCACCAATTTAAATGAAACTCACCCTGATCAAAAGTTTTAAAATAGCATTTTTCTTCAATTCAAGATTTCCTGAAATTGATACGGTACTAGCTAGGTCATGATACATCCTGACAAGTAAAGCAAATCCTGCTGCCTCACTGAGCCAAGTATCAACCAAGTTCTTTGTTTTATTCGACTGCCAAATTTAAGCTCTCTGAAATTAAGTTCAGTTATCGTACATTATATCCTGTGTCAGAGCCAAGACTTCTTTTCCTTTAAGAAAATCAGAAAGATCCAGCAGCTAAGCCTTATGGCCTCTTTCCACTTTCCCAACTTCCTTACATGGGGTTTTCAAACTGTATGCACTGAACACAGCTCTAGAATGCAAAGTTACCTGATGTGCAAAGTTACCTGAATTGCTCATTGATACTTCAATGAGCAATTAACACCTCTCATCCCTTGTCCCCAGTAAGGAAGATGCACATTAGTTTCTTTAGTTATTCTTAAGGTAGTAAAGAGTGAAGAATACCACCACTGTTTCAACATTTTTATGTATAGTATGAACAAACAGCAGGATGACATTTCAAGCTATGATTCCACAATATTAGCTCAACCATATTACGTGTTTGTACAAAGGAACCTGTTCAGCTTACATAAGAGAAGGCTGAGAGGCGATCTGGTGGCCGCCTACAAACTTGCCAAGGGAGACCAGGAGGCAATGGGAGAATCCCTGTTCCCCTGAGCACTACCGGGAGTTACAAGGAACAACGGCCATAAGCTGACTGAGTGTAGATTCAGGCTAGATATCAGGAGGCACTACTTCACAGTCAGGGTGGCTAGGAGCTGGAACCAACTTCCTAGGGAAGTGGTGCTCGCCCCTCCCCGGGGATCTTCAAAAGGAGGCTAGACAATCACCTATCTGGGGTCGTTTGACCCCAGCATCCTTTCCTGCCCATGGCAGGGGGTCAGACTTGATGGCCTGCTTAGGTCCCTTCTGATCCTACCAACTATGAATAAATACACATAAACGCTACATAGACATAAGAGGTATGTCCAGATGAGTGGGACTGTGCGGTACACAGTACCACAGAGCCATCTGTGGTACCCCACACACTGCACATGCAGGCG